ATTTTTTATTTAATTTATTTTTATTAATAATTTTTCAGTTTAAAATAGTTTATTAAGAAAAAGTCTAATGAATTAAATAAAATTTTTAAATATTTTTATTTGCATGTTTAAAGCTACTAAACACGGACAACACGTGACTTACACGTAAGCAGAAGGCATGATTTGAGAATCGGAATGGCGGAAGCTTTTAAGAAGTTGCTTCTCCTGTTTCTTACGGAAAGTTGTTACATCGAATTTTTTGTGAAATTTAATTTTTTCAATGGTATGTCTGTTTTCATATTTACACGTTTATAGTATTGTTTCAGGTGTAAATAATTGTGGAAGGTAGAAAGCGATTAAATTAATCAATATCATGCATATGTATGTTTGTTGTTGTAACACAGTACATAAACACGAGTCACATTTTTTAACTAGACGAAGCAGATCGATAATTTATACGAAGAATTTATCAATAGTATGATTTGCACCATTTTAAATATATTTCTTTGGTTTAAATTTTATATTTTTGCTATGAAAAAATTATTTATTTTTTAAGATGTTATGTTAATATATAATTTTTTAATCTTTTATTTAATCTTATCATGAAATTTGCAGTTTTACAGATTTATCTAGAATTTATCTATATATGAAAATGATTTGATAAATATATAAGTGATTGAATTTAAAAATAATAAATTTAATATAGACTATATATCTACAAGGTTATTTTAATAACTATATCTTAGATCTTTAAGTTGATTAAAAATAATTAATCTTTTGACCTACAATTTTACTCAAATGTAAAAATTGCTAACTGATTTATAAAACTTTTTAATTTAAATATATTAAACGTTTCTCGAGTTTAATTTGGCTCGTCTTCGGGTACCGTACGTATTTAAAATTCGATTGAACATAAACAACATTTTCAAATTTCCTGTTTCGTGCTAGCACACTTTTTCTTAAAGACAGACTTATCGTACTGGATTAGCCACGGAACAGAACACAGTTTTCTTTTATGTATTTATTTTTCAATATGCATTTTGTACCTAAACAGGTCCCTCCTCGGTCTTAATACATAAGTTTTTTTTTTTTTTTTTTTTTTAGGCATATGCATAAAAAAACTGACACACAAACTGGAAATATATACTAAAACAAACCAATTCACACCTAAATGCTAATTCCAGCAAATGAACAACAAAAAAATTTTAATGTTCAACGTTTTCGGCTGTCTTTCAGAGGCCCTCGTCAGGAAAAATTTGCAGAAAATAGAAAAAAAACAATTCTATCTTTTTAACAGTTCTCGAATATAGCTGTGTTCTAATTTTTAACATTTAAACGATGTTGAATACAAAGATTGTTACATATTACAACATATAATTATAACTTATAATTAAAATATTTTATAAATAAAGTTATAATTATATGTTGTAATATGTAACAATCTTTGTATTCAACATCGTTTAAATGTTAAAAATTAGAACACAGCTATGTTC